ACCTTACACCCTGCCTGAGAGATTTGGACTGAACAACCAGAAACACATAAATACAGCTGATGGGACGATGCGATTGGAGGATGGGAAAACAGAACCCAGCTGTAGGAGATCACGGGAGGGCCGGATGAGTAATGAAGACAATTAGCTCCACCTGAGGAGGGTTATCACACACACAGAACACAGACAAGACCGGGGGTCGTAACACGCCCACCACAAAAACAGCAAACCTCCAGTTTGCGACAAAACAACCAAACGTAACCCAGTACTTAAACACGCGATAGCTGGGGGCTTCGGGGCAGGGACTGAGAGTCTCGGAGCGGGGACTGGCCGAGTCGGGGCTGGGACTGAGAGCCTCGGAAGGGGAGATCGCTGCGGCCCAGCGGGAAGGGGAGATCGCTGCGGCCCAGCGCGAAGGGGAGATCGCTGCGGCCCAGCGCGAAGGGGAGATCGCTGCGGCCCAGCGCGAAGGGGAGATCGCTGCGGCCCAGCGCGAAGGGGAGATCGCTGTGGCCCAGCGCGAAGGGGAGATCGCTGCGGCCCAGCGCGAAGGGGAGATCGCTGCGGCCCAGCGGGAAGGGGAGATTGCTGCGGCCCAGCGCGAAGGGGAGATCGCTGCGGCCCAGCGCGAAGGGGAGATCGCTGCGGCCAAGGGGAGATCGCTGCGGCCCAGCGGGAAGGGGAGATCGCTGCGGCCCAGCGGGAAGGGGAGATCGCTGCGGCCCAGCGGGAAGGGGAGATCGCTGCGGCCCAGCGGGAAGGGGAGATCGCTGCGGCCCAGCGGAAAGGGGAGATCGCTGCGGCCCAGCGGAAAGGGGAGATCGCTGCGGCCCAGCGGGAAGGGGGGATCGCTGCGGCCCAGCGGGAAGGGGAGATCGCTGCGGCCCAGCGGAAAGGGGAGATCGCTGCGGCCCAGCGGAAAGGGGAGATCGCTGCGGCCCAGCGGGAAGGGGAGATCGCTGCGTGCCCAGCAAACAGGAGGTTTGCTGTTTTGGGGGGGGGCGTGTTAACGTTTCCCCAGTTTTCTGGGGTATTGTTTTGATGCCTGGACAGGGGAATTGATTC